TACGTCCGTCGTACACAATAAGCAATGAATAAACGAGAAACTAAACTTACGTATCCGACGGCGTTGGCAGCATTCTTGCGAGTCGTAGTGGTGGACGGACTTCCACAGTAACTCTCCAGTCTCTGGAACAGAACGTACTCGAGGTTATCTCCACACAGTTGAAAAGAGGGAAGGTTTGGCAACGGTAAGAGACCCAAGTGGACTTGTCCACAGTAGGGAACACCGTAGATGTCTCTTTATACATGCTGTTTAACTTACTCACCAGCTCGTCCATTATCTCTTCGCGGAAGTTGTGTTGAAGTAGTGGAATTTTGGGTCGAGGCTTCGTCTTGTGACTAAAGGCCACGTCCATTTCCTTAACATTACTCAAAACAGAAGGTTAGCTTCGTCACCTCATCGTGGATAGCGTATTCGTAGGTGGACCGTACATTGAGAGCACTAGTTTTCGTGAGCAATTGGAGGATGGAAGATCGGACACATTCTTGGTTTACCATGATCGTCTTAAGTTCGCAGTTCATCTGATCTGCGATTTTTCTCTGCTCTCAAGCAACGGCAGCCTCGCCTCGCCAGTTTATCATGTCTTGAGGTAGATTTCCTGAAGTGAGATCCGGCTTACTCTCGAGACGTCCATTCCGTATTTTCTTCAACTGAGTAAGATGATCGGTTAACACTTGTGCTTGGATGCGGAGTTTCCGAGTTTCATCTCTCTTGCGCCACTGCAGCTCTGTCGAGTATGGCACTCGTTCACGCTCGCGAATGGCGGTGGGCTTCCCCGGATTGCCTTTCTTTTGTTTCTTGCGGATGGCCGATGCAACCCGGACACTTATGAAACTAGCGTCGATTGAATCGAGGAATTCGAATATCGTGGTCTGTCCTGCCATCTCGGGCTCGGATTACGATAAGGTGTTCATGGCGAAGTACTTTGCATAATGACAGCATCGTGACTGAGTCATTCGATCCGATTCCAGCCGATTACGTCGCTTGGCACAATGCATAGTAGCTGGGATTTTGTGGTCGGGGTGTTGACGCGTTTAAGACTTTGGTCATTGTGACTCGCTATGGAACACCAATCACCATTATTTAGCACCTTATGAAGTACGTTACTATGTTCCCCTCCACAAGACGGGAGGGATACTTCCGATAAACCACAAAGGATCCCCCACCTGCCATGCAATACCACTTTAAGCGAAGCTCTCTAAGCTAGGTTGTCTGTTAGTTATGCTACCGACACCAGAGGTACATGATGAATAGCCACCCCTTCGGAATCATTCGAGATCAGTTAATCATGATTAGTGGACACATTGGCTGCAACTACCAATCGCATTACTGTGTCTGTATTCATACGAACTGGAAAAAACTTGTTGAACATGAGGTACAGTACTGTGCCTCAATAGCGAGGTCCGGCCTGGAATCCATTCCTCATGTAAATTATATGATAGCTGTGTGATTCACTACAAAAACATATGAATAGTAATGGAGATCTAGACATCGTCTTAAAGGTTATAAAAGTATATGAACGTGCTATTGAGACAAATTACTGTACAGTATATGTATTGACGAGCCGAATGGACAATGGCGATATAGAGTTTCCCTCGTTAGCCGCAACCACTTCCTCCTTATCCACTTTTATACTCGATAAGGTCTGATTCACCTGTTGTGCTAATCCCTACATTCCACCTTTAAAGTCCCTACTTAAGTACAATACAAAGTCGTTCTTCACCGGAGGAAGCCATGAAATTTGCATGTTAGCAAAAATGCTCTCAAACTTGTTTAACAGTAACAACTTTTAACCAATGCGATTCGTTATATTAAACGTTCCGACGATGGTCCAAGTTGAACAAGCACGCTAAACAAGAGTATTATCAAGCGTATCCTTACGAACCAACGCCAATTTAACGCACACATCGATTGCAATGATGCTTTGTATAAGTCTCGTATACCATAACCTAAAAAAACTGTGACGGCCCGATACCGCTACGTTCAAAGACCGTTCGTACGCCGATGTATTGCGAAGGAAGGAAAATCCCTCAGCCACGAAAAGTTAAATGTTATTCGACCCTCACGATCCAGTACGACTCCTACCCAATTACATAAGCTGTAATTAGTAGACCCCCGGCGCCTGGACGTTCTATCTACGCCTGAAGATTCAGTAGAATGAGCAGTGGATCCTAGGAGAATCTCGAAAAAGATAATTGCTTCATTGCTATACCGGTCGGTTCGATATAATGAGTGGCTTACTTTTATCGTTGCTATACTGCGAGTGGCGAGAAACGGTGAGGTCTTTCAGGTGTAGCATGCGGATTGATACAGCCTGTACACAAGCCGTGGTACACGCCATCATGGATGATCCGGAGTTGTATCAGTCAGGTATTCTAGATTCGTGGTGTTCGGTGGTGAGCCCGTTCAGTAAGGTTTTCTCGTACATGAACAATCTCTTTCGTCAAAATTTCCTCTAATAGAGACCTCCAGGTCCGCTGCAGCTTTAAGTTCGTCGAGTCTGATACTAATGAAACAAACTGTCACTGAATCTGTATGGTGTTCTTGTTCTAGTCATTGACCAGCGAGCTGGTCCTGAAAATAACAGTTAACATTGTTAAAGTTGAGTTTCAGTCGCGAAACCTGTACGGCGTGCGGGTGGAATTATGCTTTCCACTCAAAATTGATCAAAGCTCCCGCTTCAGCAACATAAGCGCATGGACCCCTTGTCAGTCTATCAGCCGTATACTTTTTGTTTTCTCCGCTGCATGTAGATATCAAATCTGAGCGCTCTAAGAAACTATCCAAGGCGAAGCTATGCTAAGACGGATGCCATTAACCGTGGAGTAGCTTTTAAATGTCGCAGTAGCGTCGTCACGCTATTGTATGGTAGCACTAGGCAGAGTAGTTGTCGCTGAAGAACTCGGGCAAGATGCCTTCGCAGTTATCAATCAGCACTTCTTGTTCTGGACCAGGTTATTCTTGAACAGGTAAATTGAGATTGAGTGAGTTTAGCTACCTTCGTACTTCTGTGTTCCTATCGTTTTTGCACTCTAGGCGTCTCCTTGGTCTAGTAGTGGGTAACTTCTACTCGTTCACATGCAACATGTACAACTTCAACCTTGCCTTCAACTGCAACCGCTTGTAACTGTTGTCTACATCTTCCAGCTGCTTGTACTCCACTTGGTCGTTCTGCTTCTCCAGCGGTGTTCGCCACACCTTGTTGGATGATCCTCATCAACTTTTCCATCCCATGCGCTTGTACTAGAAGTTCTCGCGGCATTAAAGCTAATCGAAGACGGCGAAATGTTTCGAAATGCCCATGCCAAAATCGGGGATAACTTCAGTAGCTCTGGCACCGCTATTCAGAAACTGCTGCAGAGCTTTCTTGAAATGGTGGCCACAGCCATTCTTTGTGGGTTGAGGCACCAGACCAAGCATTATTCGAACAGGAAGTGACAGCACTGCGACACAAACGTGCGCGGGTTACTGCTCCACTGTAAAAGAACTGAAAGACATCCTGTTACAGTGTATAGAACCTATCCAAGATTATATTGCATTCTTGTAATCATTTGCAGCGAGAGGAAGTAGTGGGTATCAGGTAAGTTTCGAATTGACTG